ATGTAACGTCTTTATGCACAAAATTGTTGGCATTAAAAAGTGTTCCCTTTAGGTAGACAGGTGATATTAGCTTGTCTCTGAATAACTGATAACTCTCCTTGTAAATACCCAAAATTTAGAGACCTTACCACAAAACTACTTTTTTTGATTCGAGAAAAAATAAAGAAATTCTACGATGAAATTATCTGATCCTGGAGTTTTGTTGTTTTTCATATTCTTTAGACATTTACTAACCTTCTAATTTTTTTAATTCTGCAACAGTAAGTTTTGGATTGTTGTTGAAATTAAGTCTTCACATTTGTTATATCAACACTTATGTAGAGACTTTATAAAATAACTTAATTCTTTCCAATATCTCTCTTCTGCTTTGTGAAAATAAATTTTTCATATGTCTGAATTTGCTGAATGATTTTGTATGTGAAGTTTCTATTTTCCAGACCAAAAAAGTAGCTTGCGCATGATGTTTACATTCAGAATCGTCCTGGCAAAGAGAATACTGACGCAGATGCCCTTTCCAGACTACCAATAACCATTGGTGCTGTGCGTGCAGTGAACCAGTCTGTTATTCTGGTATCACACAGCCGTGTGTTAAGAGTTTGTATGTACCTGTACAGGTGTTGGATGTGTTACAGGATCCAGGGATAGGTGGACAAGAGGGAATGATATCATGGGATTGGAGAAGAGCACAGCGGCAAGATTAATTTCTTAAACAATGGATGCAGTGGATGCCAAGTATACAGACACCAATCGCCATGACACACAGATGTTCAATATCGCCAAGAGTCTGAAAATGCTCCGTGGTATTCTCTTCAAAGAAGTAAATAAAGATGGCGTTTACAGATACCAGTTGGTACCATGCTACCCTCGGCATATATCGACAAAGCCCTTGAAGGGTTTCATGTTGTCATTGGACATCCTGGCGGAGATCTGAGTGAAGTCCCCATGGAACGAACGCGCATCTCTATTTGGAATTCATACTTCACACCCCCTAGAGCTCTTATGCATGGACTTTCTTTTATTGGAACTATGTAAAGGTGGATTAACCAATGTACTTGTAGTTACCGATCACGTCACGACATCCGTTCAGGTTTTCCCAACCTGTGATAAAACGAAGACGACAGCTGAAGTACTGTATAACAATTTTATAATGCATTACGGGATACCTAGAAGGTTTCATTCAAGACCAAGGTTCCAACATTGAGTGCGAAATCATCACTGAGCTTTGTGGTATTTTGGAAATTGTCTCAGACAACCCAATACCATCCGAGCGGAAACGGGATCATAGAACGGTTAACCTGGACTCTCAGGAAATCGTATATTCCATCTCTCCTGTATGCCAATAACTGCTCTCGCTAGGTGTCCACCATGGTTTCACTGTTCCACCTGATTTATGGGGCAATTGGACCAATCCATCTAAATATTGGCATTTCGTTCAAACTAACCATTACCAAATGAAAATAGGTCGGAAAAAGGAGATTTTCGGCGAATTCGAATATGCAAATTTAAATCAAAATTAATAGAAGTTCTTAATACAACCAAAAAAAGATTTAAATTTGACGTTTCGATGACGGTCGAGAGATGCAGGTTGAATATTATGGCCGTCATAATGATCTTACTGGGAACGATATTTCCTTTTGTTGTATAAAGATGGACGTGTTTAACGCAATTTAGTTCGTTGTTCTCAGTTGGGAGTGTAATATTACTCTCTATACTTGAAGTGACCAAGAATTATTGGAGGATGTTGCCAAGGTAGAAGATGATAACTCTCCCGAAACACCTGCTCTTATTCTCCTTGTACTTTTAAAAAGTCATCTGCACGTAAATCTTTCTTATCTTTTCTTTCTTTTGTTTCATCGAATAACAGATTTGATGAATCTGTTGCCCGTATAGACGGATTGGTTTCTTTAATTGACCAACCCTAATCCTAACTAATGTCTAACGTTTGTAGCTTACTCTCTCCTGATCTCACTGCCAGAAACACAAAACAGATACAATTGGTTTTCTTTTATTTTATTTTTATTTTTTAAATTCAAAGATCATGTACAGAACAATAATTGTTTTACCTGGGGATACTTTTTTTCTGAGTAAATTTCGAAACCCAATATACCCTTTTTTACATTATGACACAATACATAATACACAAATTTAACATTGACTGAAGGGAGTCATAAAATATGACAAAATGGTAAAGGGACCTTCTATTAACTTATAAACCACTACACCACATTCTAACTGATCAGTTAGGCGTCATCAATCAGCTTGTGCTTACAAGTCATATATAAAAGCAATGATAAAATGCATCAACGAATTCCTTCCAAAATTTATGGCTGAATTGTGTCTACGAAAAATGTTTGATCTGCTAAGACCTCAAGTTAAATGACATCATTTTACCAGTTATTACATCACTAGTACCTATATGGTTTTTCATCAAATCTGTAACGTCATAAGATTTCTTTCCTGTATAACATCGGATAACTGATGTGATCACCAGACTCGTTTCTCTCTGCATGCTACTGTAAAATATAATGTTAGAATATAAAATTATATGTAATGGAATTATTCAAGGTTGTCTCTCTCACGTATTACATGTCTTATATATCAGGGGCCGAATAAACCTGTCTCTCTCATGTGTCACCTGTCTTACATATCAGGGGACCGAAAAAAACTGTCTATCTCACGTGTCACCTGTCTCATATGTCAGGGTACCGATAAAGCTGTCTCTATCACGTATCATTTGTCTCATATGCCAGGGAATAAAGCTGTCTCTCACGTGTCACCTGTCTCATATGTCAGGGTACCGAAAAAGCTGTCTCTATCACGTGTCACCTGTCTCATATGCCAGGGTACCGAAAACGCTGTCTCTCTCACGTGTCACCTGTCTCATATGCCAGGGAATAAAACTGTCTCTCTCACGTGTCGCTTGTCTCAAATGCCAGGGAATAAAGCTGTGTCTTTTACGTGTCACCTGTCTCATATGCCAGGGTACCGAAAAAGCTATCTCTCTCACGTGTCACCTGTCTCATATGCCAGGGAATAAAACTGTCTCTCTCACGTGTCACCTGTCTCATATGCCAGGGAATAAAGCTGTCTCTCTTACACTTTACATATATTATATGTAACGGGCCGAATAAAGCTATGCCTTTCACGTCATCTATTTGATATTTTGGGGGTCGTATAAAACTGTCTATCTCACATGTTATCTGTCTCATAATTTCAGTTTACCGAATAAAGCAATGTCTCTCACGTTATCTATTTGATAGGGACCAGATAAAACGATCAAAAACTATCAAAAAATATCACCTGATATCTATTTCATATGTTTTCAATCTCACGTTGTAGCATCGACTGCAGCTATCGTTTTCAACTAATCTTTACCTCAAATAAAAGGGAAGTTTTGTATGCAAATTATATGTTGGCCTATTATGATATAAACTTTCTATTGGGTAAGAAAAAGTACCAAGTGTTTCTCTTTCTGTCTTATATATTCTATATCAAGTTTCATAACACATACACGAACATTTCCAGACTTCGTCCTGTAGCGGACATCGATGGTAACGGATTGACAATATGTATTTTACATAAAACATCGTTATGACGGAGTGACTACAATGCTTACGTATAATAATATATATTTACATCGTATACATCGACCGCTTCCAGACATCGTTATGACGGAGTGACTCCAATGCTTACAGATAATAATATATATTTACATCATATACATCGACCACTTCCAGACATCGTTATGACGGAGTGACTCCAATGCTTACAGATAATAATATATATTTACATCATATACATCGACCACTTCCAGACATCGTTATGACGGAGTGACTCCAATGCTTACAGATAATAATATATATTTACATCTCATACATCGACCACTCCTTGAAATATCTATGACGCAATGTATATAGATTTTACATTGACAGTTCCATAGCTCCGATGCTAACAGAATAATGATATACTGAACACTTCCATGTCTTTTTGTGCCGCATGGAGTCAAATGTTAACGGTATGATTATATATGTTCATATGTATTTTACATAACTTGTACAACGACCACTTTCAGACATTTCTTTGACACAGTAACTACGATGCTAATTGAATAATGATATATTGACCACTTCTATACATTTTTATCATATAATAATATATATATCTATATATATATCTTACATAACTAATACAGACCACTTCAAGACTTCTTTGATGCAGTGACATGAAAACAATGTTATCGGTATAATGATCTATATTTTGCTCCACTGGTACATCGTCCACTTTTGGATTCCTATCACTGAAAGCTCAGATGCAAACATATGATGGTATTATTGTATACATCATGACAGTTGGACCACTTAAAAATCTCTCTATCACGTAGCAGTAGTAACCATTTTACATTCCCACTGCTTTAAATCCCATTCTGATGTCAATGGCACAAATGTATATATCGTCTTATATGATTTTCCATTAGATGTGTCAATTTAAGAAACTTGTCTAACAATTTTTCATTTACGCGAGCCATTGGAGACGAACTTAAGATTTGTTTTTATCACCCGATTGATTTTTAAGCAAAATGGGAGGAAACATTTTGCGTCAAGCTTGCTGTGTTATCTATGATCTTCATTGTTACGTCACCATGCCATATGTGAATGGTGACATGGGTATATACCAAATACCAAGGCAATCATGTGATCAATCGTCAATCTGACGTCATACAAATATTATATAAAAAAAGGAATCTTATCACACTCGCCAATAATGCATAACGTTCGCATGTGTCACTAAGGTGAATTTATGCGTTTATGAACCTTCTGACACCAGCATATCCCACGTTTCCATAGCAATTCTATACCTGTTCCAGATCTGCATTTGTTCAAGTTATAAATAATCAAAATTGACGATTATCGAAGAGATCTTTAAACATACAATCTATTTCGAAGAGAGAGTGTCGATGGTTTATCAGTGTTCCCTTTCTTTCGTATGATGCGGTAAATCTTCTAGGCAACAGCTTGTGATTGTGGTGGCGACAGATCCTCTACAGCTGTCACCGCTTGTGATGCACCGTCCTCAGCAGGGCCTACTTGGTTTGGTTTTCTCGCTGTCGTCTTTTTATCTTCCTCAGATTCCGAAGACGATCTCAAGGCATCTTCCTCTTTCTTGATCATTGTACTTTTCAGTCCCTCCGGAAGGAATTCGTAGAAGGCCATTCGGAACTGCTTGTTTGTCGCGCTGTATACAATAGGATTAAGCCCTGCACTACACTTTGCAGCAATTGGCGGTAAAGCTATTAGGATTGCTGGTAGAGATTCCGGGCCAACAAAGGCTGAATAGAAGGATACGATGGCATAAGGCACCCAGGCAACAACGAACACCACTAAAAATACACAAAAAATCAAATTGAATTGTAACTGCAGTTAAACCATATCCACGTTCGACATGTCAACCGTAATTATAACCTTCTCTAGTTCAATGCATCCTATCATTTCAAAAAGCTTTCGATTATATCTTAGTATCATAACAAAATCCTCTCCATCACTACACCAATACTCAACATCACACAACATACATTACCATTAATACATTATATGACACCATACATCTCTGCATCATTAAAATATCACACAATGAACCTCTCCATCACAACAGTATCCAACAATGAACCTCTCCATCACAACAGTATCGCACAATGAACCTCTCCATCACAACAGTATCACATAATTAACCTCTCCATCATTACAGTATCACACAATGAACCTCTCCATCACAACAGTATCCAACAATGAACCTCTCCATCACAACAGTATCACACAATGAACCTCTCCATCATTACAGTATCACACAATGGACCTCTCCATCACAACAGTATCACACAATGAACCTCTCCATCATTACAGTATCACACAATGAACCTCTCCATCATTACAGTATCACACAATGTACCTCTCCATCATTACAGTATCACACAATGGACCTCTCCATCACAACAGTATCACACAATGAACCTCTCCATCATTACAGTATCACACAATGGACCTCTCCATCACAACAGTATCACACAATGAACCTCTCCATCATTACAGTATCACACAATGTACCTCTCCATCATTACAGTGCCACACAATAAAACTCTCCATCATCACCATATCACACAATGAACCTCTCCATCACAACAGTATCCAACAATGACCTTCTCCATCATTACAGTATTACACAATGAACCTCTCCATCATTACTGTATCACACAATGAACCTCTCCATCATTACTGTATCACACAATGAACCTCCCAATCATTATAGTATCATACAAATAACCTCTCTATTATCACAGTATCACACAACAAACGTCACTGTTATTTTTTAGTGTCACAATGAAACTCTCCATCATTACAGAATAACACAATGAACATCTTCATGATTACAGTATCACACAATAAATTTCTCCATCATCAAAGTATTACACAATAAACCTCTCCATCATTACAGTATCACACAAGCTACCTCAAATATCAGTCTTCAGACTTTGTCATCAGATCAGCATAAACTATAGTTAAATTTCTGCCATCTCTGCCGATCCATTAAAAAAGTTGAAGATTTTTGGCAACAAGGTTACACAAAAAATAATCTAATACAAGCGATCTGTATCAGTAAAGTATCTCTGAACTAATTACGAAATGGATATTTTGATGTTTCTTTAAGATCAGGATAGGCAAGTAGATGGAAGGCGGAAAAGCATCACTGAGATCAGAAAGGGAATTAAAGAGAAGTTGTCTTTGATTAGTATAAAGATGAAGAAGAAGTGAACACAATCTTCTACACAAACAAGCAGGGCTATCAATTGGATGGGAATTAAATCGATCAAAGTTACGGTGACTTAAGATTATTTAGTTTCTTAGCTGATATAATGATATTGTCTTTACTAGCTCCAAGGAATTTAATGATATCTAAAACTTGATGTCGGTCACATGCATCAGGTTGATAAACCAAAAAATGAGCTCTAATGGGTGTAATTTTGGGAAACAGACAAGAAGGATCCACTCCCTGACATGAGGTTTGGAAAGAAGCTAGCATAATATGGGTGGGTTTTAGAACAACAAACAAATATGAAAATGATAGTTATCATTGTAATATTGAGAGGAGTAAGATTGTTTCGAATGCATGTAATTAATAAGTGTCATAAAACACACATATCCATCATTATATATAGTCACACCACACACATTTTCATTATTACATAATTTCACACCACACACATCTCCATTATCATATGATGTCACAATATACATTCATTAATATATAATGTCACAACACACAGCTCCATTATTATATAATGTCACAACATACATCCATTAATATATAATGTCACAACACACATCTCCATTATTATATAATGTCACAACACACATCCATTAATATATAATGTCACAACACACATCTCCATTATTATATAATGTCACACAACACATCTTCATTATTATATAACGTCATAATACACATATCTATTATTAAATAATGTCACAACACAGATCTCCATTATTATATAATGTCACAACACACATCGTCATTATTATATTATTTCACAACACACATCTCCATTATCATATAATGTCACAATAGAAATCACCATAATAATATATGACATCACACAACACACATCTCCATCATTATATATGACATAACACACCACACATCTCCATTATTATATTATTTCACAATACACATCTCCAGTATCATATAATGTCACAACACACATCTCAATTATTGTAGATTGTCACACCACACACATTTTCATTATTATATAGTGTCACACAACACATATCTCCATTATTATATATTGTCACAACACACAACTCCATTATTATATATGACATAAACACAACACACATCTCCCTGATTATATAATGTCACAACGCATATCGTCATTATCATATTATGTCACAACACACATATCTATTATTATATAATGTTACAACACACAGCTCCATTATTATATAATGTCACAACACACATCGTCATTATTATATAATGTCACGACAAACATCTACATTATTACATATGACATCACACAACATACATCTCCGTTATTATAACATTTGACCACACACATCTCCATTATTATATAATGCCACACCACACACATCTCAATTATTTTACAATGTCACCACACACATTTCCATTATTATATAATGTCACGCAACCCATCTCCATTATTATATATGACATAACACACCACACATCTCCATTATTATATATTGTCACAACACACATCTCCATTATTATATTTGATATCACACAACACACATCACCATCATTATATATGATATCACACAACGCACATCTGCATTATCATATAGTGTCACACAACACACATCACCATTATTATATATGACATCACACAACATACATCTGCATTATCATAATGTCACACAACACACATCACCATTATTATATATGACATCACACAACACTCATCTGCATTATCATATAGTGTCACACAACACACATCACCATTATTATATAATGTCACACCACGCCAATCTCCATTACATATTATCGTACCGCTCACCTTTCCAGCATTTAATTAATCCATATCATTCAGTTTAAACTCAACCTCAACGATTTCCTAGATCGTACCAATAAAATATCACAGTACAATCAAATAATGTCAACATCATTACTTACTAAGCATGCAGCCAATTGTCTTTGCCATTTTTTTCTCCACCCTGAGGTTCTTTCTAGCAACACGACTTGTCATGTCCCAAACTCCACTTCGTGCGACATTGCGGATCTAAGAACGAAAAGATGGTACGTGAAAATATTGTTTTTTCTTGTGTTTTATTATTTATGTTAAACAAGCAATATTTCCCTATCATTTAAACCAAACACTATTTTCCCTTTTGTAAACCAAATGATGTTCCCTACCATGGAAAACAAACATTGTGACCCATTATGTACCCCAATTCATGTTTTCCATCATGAAAGTCAATCCATATTTTCCATCATATAAACAAACAAAAATCTGTATCATGGAAATCAATCTAGTTTCCCATTATATAAACCAAACAATTTTCTCTATGATATAAACCAAACAATTTTCCATATTATGGAAACCAAATTACATTTCCCAACATATAAACCAAAAAATAATTCATGGAAACTAGTCTAGTCTAATAAAACAAACAATCCCCCTATCATGGAAACCAAGTCACGTTTCCAGCCATATAAATCAAACCATTTTCTCCATACTGGAAACCAAATCACGTGTCCCATCATATAAACCAACAAACTTTATCTATCATGGAATTAAGTCCAGTTTTCCATCTGATAAAACATAATATCCCCCTATCATGGAAACCAAATCACGTTTCCAGCCATATAAAGCAAACAATTTTCTCCATACTGGAAACCAATCTAGTTGTCCCATCATATAAACCAAACACTCCCCCTATCATGGAAACCAAATCACGATTCCCATCATATAAAGCAAACAATTTTCCCAATCATGGAAACCAAATCACGTTTCCCATCATATAAAGCAAACATTTTTTTCCATATTGGAAACTAATCTAGTTTTCCCATCATATAAAGCAAACAATTTTTTCCATATTGGAAACTAATCAAGTTTTCCCATCATATAAAACAAACAATTTTCCCTATCATAGAAACCAGATCACGTTTCCAATCATATAAAGCAAACAATTTTTTTTTCTACATTGGAAACTAATCTAGTTTTCCCATCATATAAACCAAACACTCCCTCTATCATGGAAACCAAATCACGTTTCCATCATATAAAGCAAACAATTTTCCCTATCATGGAAACCAAATCACGTTTCCCATCATATAAAGCAAACAATTTTCTCCATATTGGACACTAATCTAGTTTTCCCATCATATAAACCAAACACTCCCCCTATCATGGAAACCAAATCACGATTCCCATCATATAAAGCAAACAATTTTCCCAATCATGGAAACCAAATCACGTTTCCCATCATATAAAGCAAACATTTATTTCCATATTGGAAACTAATCTAGTTTTCCCATCATATAAAGCAAACAATTTTTTCCATATTGGAAACTAATCTAGTTTTCCCATCATATAAAACAAACAATTTTCCCTATCATAGAAACCAGATCACGTTTCCAATCATATAAAGCAAAAAAAATTTTTTTCTACATTGGAAACTAATCTAGTTTTCCCATCATATAAACCAAACACTCCCCCTATCATGGAAACCAAATCACGTTTCCCATCATATAAAGCAAAACATTTTTTTACCATATTGGAAACTAATCTAGTTTTCCCATCATATAAACCAAACACTACCCCTATCATGGAAACCAAATCACGTTTCCCATCATATAAAGCAAACAATTTTCCCTATCATGGAAACCAAATCACATTTCCCAACATATAAAGCAAACAATTTTCCCTATCATGGAAACCAAATCACATTTCCCAACATATAAACCAAAAAATAATTCATGGAAACTAATCTAGTTTTCCCATCTAATAAAACAAAGAATGTTCTTTATCATTGAAACCAAATCACGTTTCCCATCATATAAAGCAAACATTTTTTTCCATATTGGAAACTAATCTAGGTTTCCCATCATATAATGCAAATGATTTTCCCTATCATTGAAACCAAATCACGTTTCCCATCATATAAAGCAAACAATTTATTCATATTGGAAACTAATCTCGTTTTCCCATCATATAAAGCAAACAATTTTTTTCATATATGGAAACTAATCTAGTTTTCCCATCATATAAACCAAACACTTCCCCTATCATGGAAACCAAATCACGTTTCCCATCATATAAAGCAAACAATTTTCCCCTATCATGGAAACCAAATCACATTTCCCAACATATAAAGCAAACAATTTTCCCTATCATGGAAACCAAATCACATTTCCCAACATATAAACCAAAAAATAATTCATGGAAACTAATCTAGTTTTCTCATCTAATAAAACAAAGAATTTTCCCTATCATGGAAACCAAATCACGTTTCCCATCATATAAAGCAAACAATTTTCCCAATCATGGAAACCAAATCACGTTTCCCATCATATAAAGCAAACATTTTTTTTCCATATTGGAAACTAATCTAGTTTTCCCATCATATAAACCAAACACTCCCCCTATCATGGAAACCAAATCACGTTTCCCATCATATAAAGCAAATAATTTTCCCTATCATGGAAACCAAATCACGTTTCCCATCATATAAAGCAAACAATTTTTTTCCATATTGGAAACTAATCTAGTTTTCCCATCTAATAAAACAAAGAATTTTCCCTATCATTGAAACCAAATCACGTTTCCCATCATATAAAGCAAACAATTTTTTTCTATATTGGAAACTAATCTAGATTTCCCATCATATAAACCAAACACTCCCCCTATCATAGAAACCAGATCACGTTTCCCATCATATAAAGCAAATAATTTTCCCTATCATGGAAACCAAATCACATTTCCCATCATACAAAGCAAACAATTTTCTCCATATTGGAAACTAATCTAGTTTTCCCATCATATAAACCAAACACTCCTGCTATCATGGAAACCAAATCACGTTTCCCATCATATAAAGCAAACAATTTTTTCCATATTGGAAACTAATCTAGTTTTCCCATCATAAAAACCAAACACTTCTCCTATCATGGAAACCAAATCACGTTTCCCATCATATAAAGCAAACAATTTTTTCCATAGTGGAAACTAATCTAGTTTTCCCATCATATAAATCAAACACTCCCCCTATCATGGAAACCAAATCACGTTTCCCATCATATAAAGCAAACAATTTTCCCTATCCTGGAAACCATATCACATTTCCCAACATATAAAGCAAACAATTTTCCCTATCATGGAAACCAAATCACATTTCCCAACATATAAACCAAAAAATAATTCATGGAAACTAATCTAGTTTTCCCATCTAATAAAACAAAGAATTTTCCCTATCCTGGAAACCAAATCACGTTTCCTATCATATAAAGCAAACAATTTTTTTTTCTACATTGGAAACTAATCTAGTTTTCCCATCATATAAACCAAACACTCCCTCTATCATGGAAACCAAATCACGTTTCCATCATATAAAGCAAACAATTTTCCCTATCATGGAAACCAAATCACGTTTCCCATCATATAAAGCAAACAATTTTCTCCATATTGGAAACTAATCTAGTTTTCCCATCATATAAACCAAACACTCCCCCTATCATGGAAACCAAATCACGTTTCCCATCATATAAAGCAAAACATTTTTTACCATATTGGAAACTAATCTAGTTTTCCCATCATATAAACCAAACACTACCCCTATCATGGAAACCAAATCACGTTTCCCATCATATAAAGCAAACAATTTTCCCTATCATGGAAACCAAATCACATTTCCCAACATATAAAGCAAACAATTTTCCCTATCATGGAAACCAAATCACATTTCCCAACATATAAACCAAAAAATAATTCATGGAAACTAATCTAGTTTTCCCATCTAATAAAACAAAGAATGTTCTTTATCATTGAAACCAAATCACGTTTCCCATCATATAAAGCAAACAATTTTTCTATATTGGAAACTAATCTAGGTTTCCCATCATATAATGCAAATGATTTTCCCTATCATTGAAACCAAATCACGTTTCCCATCATATAAAGCAAACAATTTATTCCATATTGGAAACTAATCTAGTTTTCCCATCATATAAAGCAAACATTTTTTTTCATATATGGAAACTAATCTAGTTTTCCCATCATATAAACCAAACACTTCCCCTATCATGGAAACCAAATCACGTTTCCCATCATATAAAGCAAACAATTTTCCCCTATCATGGAAACCAAATCACATTTCCCATCATATAAAGCAAACAATTTTCCCTATCATGGAAACCAAATCACATTTCCCAACATGTAAACCAAAAATAATTCATGGAAACTAATCTAATAAAACAAAGTTTTCATGGAAACCAAATCATCATCATATAAAGCAAACAATTTTCCCTATCATGGAAACCAAATCACGTTTCCCATCATATAAAGCAAACAATTTTCCCTATCATGGAAACCAAATCACGTTTCCCATCATATAAAGCAAACATTTTTTTCCATATTGGAAACTAATCTAGTTTTCCCATCATATAAAGCAAACAATTTTTCCTATCATAGAAACCAGATCACGTTTCCAATCATATAAAGCAAACAATTTTTTCTATATTGGAAACTAATCTAGTTTTCCCATCATATAAACCAAACACTCCCCCTATCATGGAAACCAAATCACGTTTCCCATCATATAAAGCAAACAATTTTTCCATATTGGAAACTAATCTAGTTTTCCCATCATATAATGCAAATGATTTTCCCTATCATTGAAACCAAATCGCGTTTCCCATCATATAAAGCCAACAATTTATTCCATATTGGAAACTAATCTAGTTTTCCCATCATATAAAGCAAACATTTTTTTTCATATATGGAAACTAATCTAGTTTTCCCATCATATAAACCAAACACTTCCCCTATCATGGAAACCAAATCACGTTTCCCATCATATAAAGCAAACAATTTTTTCCATAGTGGAAACTAATCTAGTTTTCCCATCATATAAAGCAAACAATTGTTTCCATATTGGAAACTAATCTAGTTTTCCCATCATATAAAGCAAACAATTGTTTCCATATTGGAAACTAATCTAGTTTTCTCATCATATAAAGCAAACAATTTTTTCTATATTGGAAATTAATCTAGTTTTCCCA